AATTTTTTTAATTTCTTATTTAAGTAAATTATTATTTTTTTGTTTTCTTATAATAAATTTTTCATTTTATTCAAATTTATATTTTATATTTTCCTTTAGGATTTTTCAACATTACGGTGACACTTCACATATGAAAAATGTTTCAAAACTACACGGTGAGTCGTTCCACTTCAGACCTTTGCCATCACGATTCCACAATTCCATGCAATTTTCTTCTTCGCCATTTTCATAACGGTAATTATTCGGTTCACCAGCATTCCAATTGGTGAACGTTATCGGGCGACCACTTGACATCCAAAAGAAAGTGCCTTCATCTGCTAAATCGGTACCCGATATCCAGAAATGTTCATTATCCAGACCTATGGGGAAATTTTGAAAAAAAAAAATAAATAAATATGAAATTTATAATAATGTAATAAGAAGTAAAAATATTTTTATATGGGGTATTCGAAAATCCTTCTTAAAAGATATTTTTGGAGGACCCAAAAGAGAATGGATTTTTGTGATGTAATTAGAGAGTATTTTTTATACCCTACACAACTATGTTGTCAGGGTATTATAGCTTTGTGCAGCCCCAAGAGTTTGTAACGCCGCAAAATATTAGTCTTAGACCCACTTTTAAGTATACCGATCGTCATATCTCGACTAGCTGAGTCCATCTAGACATGTGTGTCCGTCCGTCCGTCTGTCCATTATAATTTGTAAACACGATACAGGCCTCAGTTATGGACCAATCTTCACGAAATTTTGCATGCAGGATGGGTTCTGCCCAATGAAGACCCCTATTGTTTTTGGGAACGATCGGTTAATATTTAGGGGATGAAATGGACCAAAAACTAAATTTTTGTCTGATTTTCTGGTCGCTCTAGAGTCCGCAATTATGGCCGAAACACCGCGAATTTCTACATGGAGAAGGGGATTGGGCCAAAGAATAAGCATGCCTGTTTTCAGAAAGATCGATCAATATTTAGCCGGTCAAATGGACCCATACTTTTGTGTGAAAAATGACAAAATTTGTATTCTATAGCATATATATTTACTATTGAAGGACATAGATCCGAGAAGTTCATAGTATATCCAAGAGGAGTGTTTGACCTTTAAATTGATACCAATTATATTGTCGTATGTACTCGGATGCGGGAGTTACATTTAAATATTTACAGGTGCTTACGTACTCAGATATTATTTAGTAACACATTACCACACTGGAGGCGGAAATACAGCGCGGATCGCTTTGAAAATTTCCATGAGAATCCAGGAATGGTCAAGGATAACGCATATAATATTCGGTGATGATCAGATAATAATATTGGGATGAGGTGGACCGAAACCTTAATTTTTTGTGTTTTTTTCTAGTCCATATATAGTCCACAATTGAAAGGCGAACATCATAACACAACCCACCGTGAAGGGAATCTGGACAAGTAATTAGAAGGGATTTACTGAATATTAGTAATATTTGTTGACCTCTAGTCGGTCAAGAGGGTGTAAATATAGCGAAATATTTTCCATGCTCAGAGTATATAACCACAGAAAGTTAGATTTTCGTGGATGTTGTGTAGGGTATCATATGGTCGGCCCCGTCCGACTATACTGCTCCGCTCACTGGTTTTAGAATAATTTTTAATTTTTTGTGAAAATATTTTTGGGAGGACCAATATTTAAACCAGTAATCGAAACAGTATGCCACTGAACTCCAACTGCATTCAGAGCTAAACTTCAAATGTGAACAATTTTTATACCCTTCACCACACTGTGGTAAAGGTATTATGTCTTTGTGCATATGTTTTGTAACAGGCAAAAGGAAACGAGATAGACACATGGTTCCTTTTGAGAATATGCATAGAATCACTTTTTAAGTCGATTTATGCATGTCCATCAGTCCGTCTGTCTGTCCATGTTAAATTGTAAACAAAGTATAGGTCGCATTTATGAACAGAATTGGATGAAATTTGGCATAGGTCACTTATTTGGCCCCAGGACGAACCCTATTGAAATTGGGAAAATCGGTTCAGATTTAGATACAGCTCCCATATATATTTTCGTCCGATTTATTGTATATGGTGTAGCAAAGTTTCTATATAACTTCCGATTAGTACGAAATTTGGCATAGCCTAATGAATTAGGTCTAGAATGATGTGTATTAAGTTTCCTGAAAATCGGTCCAAATTTAGATATAGCTCCCATATATATTTTCGTCCGATTTATGGTATATGGTGTAGCAAAGTCCCTATATTACTTCCGATTAGTACGAAATTTGACATAGCCTAACGAATTAGATCTAGAATGATGTGTGTTGATTTTCCTGAAAATCGATCCAGATTTAGATATAGCTCCCATATATATTTTCGTCCGATTTATTGTATATGGTGTAGCAAAGTCCCTATATAACTTCCGATCGGCACGAAATTTGGCATAGCCTAATGAATTAGGTCTAGAATGATGTGTGTTAAGTTTCCTGAAAATCGGTTCAGATTTAGATATAGCTCCCATATATATTTTCGTCCGATTTATTGTATATGGTGTAGCAAAGTCCCCATATAACTTCCAATTGGCACGAAATATGGCATAGCTTAATGAATTTGGTCTAGAGTGATGTTTGTTAAATTTCCTGAAAATCGGTCCAGATTTAGATATAGTTCCCATATATATTTTAGTCCGATTTGTTGTATATGGTGTAGCAAAGTCCCTATATAACTTCCGATGGGCACGAAATTTGGCATAGCCTAATGAATAAGGTCTAGAATGATGTGTGTTAAGTTTCGGGAAAATTGGTCTAGATTTAGATATAGCTCCCATATATATTTTCGTCCGATTTAATGTAAATGGTGTAGCAAAGTCCCCATATATATTTCGATGTGCAAGAAATTTGGCAAAGCTTAATGAATTAGGCTTAGAATTATGTGTGTTGAGTTCCCTGAAAATCGGTCAAGATTTAGATATAGCTCCTATGTATATTTTCGTCAGATTTATTGTATATGGTGTAGCAAAGTCCCTATATAATTTCCGATTGGCACGAAATTTGTCAAAGCGTACTGAATTAAGCCTAGAACGATGTGTGTTAAATATCGTGAAAATCGGTTCAGACTTAGACATAGCTCCCATATATATTTTTGTCTGATTTTCGGTAAATAGTGCACTAAAGTCGCTATATATACTTCGATTTGCATGAAATTTGGCATAGCGTACTGAATTGAGTCTAGAATAATGTGTGGTAAGTTTCGAAAAAATCGGTTCAGATTCCGATATAGCTCCCACATATACATATATATTCGTCGGATTTTACAAATATGGTGCACCAAATTCCTAATATTTGTCCGAGTAACATGAAATTTTGCACAACGTATCAAATTGAGACTTGAATGACGTCATTGCGTTTTGTTGAAATTGGTGCAGATGCAGCCATAGCTTCTATATGTATTTCGAACGGGTGTCTGATTGAAATTACATTTTCAACTGTGCGGCGTACCGAATAGCGTGTATCATTTTTGTTATAAAACGTTTTCCATAAATTTGCCCCCTGGTACGCAATTGACTCTAAATCTGTCCGAATGAAATTAAATTTAGGAACAAAAGTAAACATTGAAAACATTGACATGCGATTGTATGTATGCAATATACTTACAGTGGTGAAGGGTATCATATAGTCGGCCCAGTTCGACTTTACTACTTTTCTTACTGGCTACTATCAACAATATGTGTGGATTAATAAAAAAATATTTTTTAAGGGTGGATATTTTATAAAAAAAAAATAAGGCTGGGATTTTTTAAGGATTATCAAAAAGAAAATATTTAAAGCGTGGATTATTCAAAAAAATAATGAACGGATTATTAAAAAAAACGGACCAGGATTATTTTCAAAAAATAGCATTTTTGTTCAAAATAATTCGTGGACTTTTAAAAAATATTGATCAATAAAAAATAACAATTATAAAATTTTTTTTTAAACAGATTTAAGAAATTTCATAAAAAAATTTTAGGTCGAGGATTAATTAAAAATTATATTTAGGGTCGTTTAACAAAACAAAAATAAAAAAGGCGTCGAGTCAGGTTGTATATGTTTGTGTGGCACCAACCTGTTGTCCTATCGTCATACCCTAGGGGTTACACCTTTTGAAAATAAGTGAAATAATTTTTAAAAAGTCCGGGCTTCTGTTCTGCCATAAAAGATGTCAGGTTCCTTCACCCAAATAATAAAATATTTTTTCTGTTCTTTTTACTTTTTTTATTTAAATTTTTCATTTTTCTCTTTATTAACTAAGCATCATATCATTTTATTTGAACATCTCATTTTGTAAAATATAAGTAATTATAACTAAGCCTAGAAACTAAATCCTAAATATTTATAAAAAACAATACATACAATTTATTCATTATTTTTTTATAATTAATTCCTACAAAACACAGGCATGAAATGAACAACATTGGCGGGTGAATGGGTGTTTGAGGTTGAGGGGTTTGGGCGGCATGTGTGGATGTATCACTAAAAAAGGATCTATGAAAGGATTTATAACAAATCCTTTGACAATTAAAAACAAAAAATGAACATATTTTTTTCATTTAAGCTAGTCAGCAGTATCGTTCTCATCATTTGTGTCTGTCGACATGTTAATTGTGGTAGTAGCAAAAAAATAAATTTATAAATTATGCATGTATGTGTGATTAAGTGAGTGATTGTGCCAATTTGTGTGTGTGTGTGATTAAAGTGAATAAGAAAAGAGAGAGTGACATTCACATTTTGCATGCATGCATTCAAAACTAAATTTTTTCTGTTCCTACTAAACTATAATTAAAATGCATTGTTGTTTTTTTTTTAATGATGAATAATGTGTAACGGCATGAATTTTAAAATCTAATTTAAACCAAATCTATAAAAAGAGAAATTTTTATTATTTTTTTGTAATTATTTTGTCTGCCAATTCGTTTTTTTGTTTTGCTCTTTTAAAATTTGTTATCCTAAATCCATTGTTCCATTTGGTCGTCGTCATACTCAGCATCCTTACTCAAGGTTGTACTTCACACACGAAATAGGTTTCGAAACTACAGGGTGAGTCGTTCCACTTCAGACCTTTGCCATCACGATTCCACAATTCCATGCAATTTTCTTCTTCACCGTTTTCATAACGGAAATTATTCGGTTCGCCAGCATTCCAATTTGTGAAGGTAATCGGTCGACCCGTCGACATCCAAAAGAAGTTACCCTCATCAGCTAAATCGGTACCGGAGATCCAGAAGTGTTCATTACCCAAACCTAATGAGGAGAACAGAAACCAAATGAAAGAAAGGGGGAAAAAAGAAAGGCACAAGAGATATTTATTTGAAGCAAAAATTAAAGCATTGACATTATTTATTCTGCATAACTACACCAATCACCAATTTTTGTTGCACACCCAGCATACCGAGTTACCCTCTAAGGAGGTTAAATTGCAAAGTAGGCCAAGTACTTATTATACTGCTAAGTGTTTTGTTAGCAATTACATTTCTCTAAAACGTCCAAAGTCTGTCAGAACATGTTTTGCAGACCATCCCACAGAAAAAAATTATTTCTCTCATCTCTATCTTAATTTTTCGTACAGACCTCCTGTAGGATGTAATTAAAATAAAACGACGAAAAAATATATGTGTTTTGAGCACGCATACCACACTGTGGTACAGGGTATTATGTCTTTGTGCATATGTTTGTAACAGGCAAAAGAAAACGAGATAGACCCATAGTTCCTTTTGAGAATATGCATAGTATCACTTTCTGAGTCGATATAGATATAGCTCCCATATATATTTTCGTCCGATTTAATGTAAATTTAGTCCAGAATGATGTCTGCCAAGTTTCGAGAAAATCGGTCCAGATTTAGATATAGCTCCCATATATAGTTTCGTCCGATTTCATGTAAATGGTGCACCAAAGTCCCTAAATATGCTTCTATTTGCACGAATTTGGGCATAACGTACTTAATCGAGCCTAGAGTGATGTCGGTCAAGTTTCGTGAAAATCGGTTGAAATTTAGATATAGCTTCCGTTTGAAGTCGATATACATACTTTTGCCCCATTGTAACAAACGAATGATATGTTTATGGATAGATCTAGGTAGATTCACATTTAGATAAATACCATCAGCTGTATAATATACCCATAGTGGTGAAGGGTATCATATATTCGGCCCCGTCCGACTATATTGCTCCGCTCACTGGTTTATAAATATTTCTTAACGGAAATTATGAAGGCGTAGATTTTTAAAAAAATATTTTGAGGACTTCGATTTCTTTTGTGGTGCGCTATGTGGTCAGTTTGTATAAGTTTGTGTGACTCCAAATTTTGTAACATCGCGAAATATAGGTCTTTGGCCAACCTGTTAGTACTCCGATCGTCATATCTTGACTATCTGACACCCGATACCTGAAGTTTTTTGTAATATCAATTAATATTTGTGGGATATAAAAGACCCGTTTGGAACATGATATGACATTCAGGAAGAGATTATCCGTAAAAGTTGTCAGTATTTTACCCATGCGCGGAATTTATCTCCGGAAATATTATATGTTTTTAATTATTTATTTTATGTTCTAGTAAACTTTAAAAATAAATTAAAAAAGTCCAGCATTCTTTAGCCCTTAAAAACAATATTTTAAAAAATTCGCACTTCTTTAGTCTTTAAAATATAATTTAAACCAGTAAGGAAAGTAATAAAGTCGGACGGGGCCGACTATATGATACCCTTCACCACTGTGGGTATATTTAACAGGACTATTAACATGAAATTGGATGAAATAAAATATGTGATATTTATCTAAATGTAAATCTACCTAGATATATCCATAAAGTATCGATTTAAATCGATTTAAAACAAATATAAATATGTCATACGTTGGGCTATGACTGTACTTCTAGAAAACGCAACTACGTAATTCTATGCTCAATTTTGTACATTGTGCAAAATTTGATGACCAATTTACTTGAAATCGGGCGAAAATATATATGGAAGCTCTATCCAAATATTAAGCGATTTCAAGCAAACTTGTCACAGGTTAGGTTATACTAATTTGAGAACGGTTTGTTCCTATTGGTTCCTTGGTGTGTCAATTAATTAAAATATGTAAGCTATATCTAAATCAGGACCGATTTTCGTGAAACATGGCAGACATCATTCTAGGCTCAATTCAGTACGTTATGACAAATTTCGTGCAAATCGCAGGATATATAGGGACTTTGGTGCACCATTTACATGAAATCGGACGAAACTATATATGGGAGCTATATATAAATCTTGACTATTTTCCCGAACCTTGGCAGACATCATTCTAGACTCAACTCAGTACGTTATGCCAAAATTCGTGCAAATCGCAAGATATATGTGGTGCCCCATTTACATGAAATCGGACGAAACTATATAAGGGAGCTATATCTAAATCTGGACCGATTTTCTCGAAACTTGGCAGACATCACTCTAGGCTTAATTCAGTACGTTATGCCAAATTTCGTGCAAATCGAAAGATATATAGGGACTTTGGGGCACCATTGACATGAAATCGGACGAAACTATATATGGGAGCTATATCTAAATCTGGACCGATTTTTACGAAACTTGGCAGACATCACTCTAGGCTTAATTCAGTACGTTATGCCAAATTTCGTGCAAATCAAAAGATATATTGGGACTTTGGGGCATCATTGACATGGAATCGGACGAAAATATAAATGGGAGCTATATCTAAATCTGGACCGATTTTTACGAAACTTGGCAGACATCATTCTAGGCCTAAATGATTAGGCTGTACTAAATTTCGTGCAAATTACATTAAATCAATCAATAGGGTTCGTCCTTGGGCTGAATAAGTGACCTATGCCAAATTTCATCCAATTCGGATCATAAATGCGACCTGTACTTTGTTTACAATTTAACATGGACAGATAGACAGACAGACGGACGGACGACGGACATGCATAAATCGACTTAGAAAGTGATTCTATGCATATTCTCAAAAGGAACCATGTGTCTATCTCGTTTCCTTTTGCCTGTTACAAACATATGCACAAAGACATAATACCCTGTACCACAGTGTGGTGAAGGGTGTAAAAAATCCACGCTTCTTCTAGTCCATAAAAAATAATTCTTAAAACTCCACGCTTCCTTTAGCCTTTAAAAAATAATTCTATACACGCTTTCTCTAGACCTTAAAAAATAATTCTTGAAAAAAATTCACGACTATTTTTACCCTTATAATATATTCATCAAAAATCCTACACTTAGTCCTTAAAAATAATTCTTAAAAACGCTTCCTTTAGTCCTTAAAAAATGTTTAAAAATTTAATCTTCTGAAAAATGTCTTTAAATGCATACCTTTTTTATTATTTAAAAATATTATTTTTAAATCAAGGATTTTCTTTATGGATTTATTTTTTTTTAAATCCACGTCTATTTTATGCCGTTAAAAAAATATATTTTTTGCATCCACACCCATTTTATGTCTTTAAATATATATTTTTTCAATTCAAGCCTATATTTGTCTCTAAGTATTTTCTTAAAAAAAATCCGCGCCTATTTTTTGTCCTAACACATATTATTAAAAAAAAAAAAAAAATCCACGACTCTTTTATGTCCTTAGAAATATCATTTAAAAAATATTTTTTATCCACGCCTATTTTTTGTTCTTTAAAAAGTTATTTTTGTACATAAAAATATTTTTCTTTTAAAATCAAGTTTTTTTTTGTTCATAATTTTTTTTTTAAATCAATTTTTAAGCCCCAATTTTTATACCGATTGTCATATGTCGATTAGTCCAAACATCGCGAATTTTTACATGGAAAAGGGGATCGGGTCAAAGAATAATCATGCCAGTTTTGATAAAGTTCGATCAATATTTTGCGGGTCAAATGGACCCTTACTTCTGTGTGAAAAATGGCAAAATTGTTATATTTACCCCTGAAGAACATAGACCCGAGACCTTCTGGTCTTCTATAGAAGAAAACCTTCTGCTCTTCTATAAAATAAAACCTTCTTATCTTCTATAGAAGAAGACTTTCTGGTCTTCTTTAGAGGAAGTTGATGTCCAAAGGGAGTGGTTGACCTTTAAATTGATACCAATTATATTGTCGTATGTACTCGGATGTGAGATATTATTTAGTACCCCATTACCACACTAGAGGGCGGAAATATAGCCCTGATCGCTTTGAAATTTTCCATGAGGTTCCCGTTATGATCAAGGAGAACGCCTATCATTTTCGGTGATGATCAGATAGTTATTTTGGGATGAAATGGACCAGAAACTTTAATTTTTGTGCTTTTTTGATCTATAGGCCACAATTATAAGCCGAACATCACAATACAACTCACGGCGAAGGGAATCTGGAAAAGTAATTAGAAGCGCTATACTGAATATTAGTAATATTTGGAAAATATGTGTGAGTAAGAGGTGCTGTTAACCTCTAATCGGGTAAGAGGGTGCAAATGTCACGAAATATTGCCCAGACTCGGAAAAAAACATCCGCAGAAAGTTAGAGTTTCGTGGAAGTTGTGTAGAGTATCATACGGTCGGCCCCGTCCCCTCACTGGTTTTATAATATTTTTGTTTGTTGTTATTTTTAACAGTGCTCGCTAGCATTCGCGAACATTCGTTTTTTGAGTTTTTCAAATATACTTCAGCAAAGAATGCTCGCGAAAGAATGAATCGACGACGCATGCGCGAAATTTTATTGTTCGTGAATTTTTGGTACAATGCGAAAATTCGCGAGAGAATGCAAATGCTTGTGCATTCATTGTAACTTTATCATTCGCGATAAATTGAAAACATTCGAATTCTCGCCCGTGAGCATTCGTGAGAAAGAGCGTATTTTAATCATTAAAATTTATCCTTCAATTATTTATTAAAAAAAATATTTTTTAAAAGTCCATACTCAAATAGTCAGCAAAAATATTATTTCGATATCCTTGCAAAATATGCTCTTTAAAAACTACAAACTTATTATGGCCATTGAAAAAAATATTAAAAAAATGCAATGCATTTATTACTTTATGAAAAAGTCCTATAAACAAATCCACACTACTACTGGTCTTAGAAATCCACACCCTAATATATTCTTAAAAAATTTCAAAATCTAATAGCCCGTTCTGCGACAGACTACAATTTACCTTCTCCTACTCCTCCTGAAGTCGCATACATCCCAACTAATTTTATTACAACTCCCTTTCGATTGCCAACATTTAATTTCCCATTAACCCAATATCCTCCAATGAATTTTTAATTACAATAAGAACAAGAAATTTCATGCTTGATTTCAAGACACTTCTCACTCCCACCCTCATCCCATTGCGATTTCATTACTACATTTGTAATGGTATTTATTGTTGGACTCTTTTGTTGCATTCCTTTTATTCAATTCAGGTCGGTTCGGTTCGGTTTGCATTACAAGTCAAATATGAACAATTTGAACATTGTCGTTAACATTTCGCGAAATTAGGTTAAACATGAGACACACAAAATACCGGGACCAAACGAAAAAGAAAAAAAACGACAATCATTTAACAAGCTAACCAAAATGAGAATAAAAAAAGTAAAAACGAACCTCCAACACTGCAAACCATATCAAACCTGGAGGTAGCCAACATTGTTACAATTGACCATATATAGATGTTGGGATTTTGCTGGTGAATGGGATGGAATGAAATGGAATGGCCTAGCGTTGGTGGTCCGTTTGTCGTTTTATTGTTGCTGCTGCTGCAGACGGAATGGTCATATCTTACAACAAGTCATTGCTCGAATATGGGGAGAGAGAGAACAATGAAATGCATGTAATATTGCATCAAACATTGTTGCAACAAAATAGTAACAACAGCAACTTAGCTCTCTGGTCGTTTGCACAGTTCAGTTCATAGCTAATATGGCTGCTGCTGCTCTGTCTCAGTGTATGTGACACAATAGAAGACAAAAAGGAAAACTGGCGCAAAAATTATTGAAAGCCATGCCATAATACCCGGAAATATAATTTCATTTAAAGATAAAAAACGAAAAGACAAATGACGAAAACAAAGCTGAGGCAGCAAATGTTTGAGAAATAGAAGGAATGAATGAATGGCTGGGTATTTAAAAAGCGTTTGTGTGAATGATCGTGGGAGCTTGTAAGTTATAGATGTAGAGCAGCAATAAAACTTGTTACAAACGTTTTTTAGGTTATTTTTCTTTTTTTTGTCGAAACAAAAGTCATAGAAAGAAAATGGACCAAATAATTCAAATGCCAATTTCGTTCGTTTAACATTAGGAACTTGTCAAAGTAATGTATATACATGTGCATAGGTATGTACATACATATGTATGTAAATATTGGAAACTAAATGGAAATCAACAATTTTAATTTCTGATAAGTTCACTAAACCAATTCAATTTTTTTTTTCTTTTTGGTATTCAATTTCAATATTTGATTAAGAAATTCGTTAACACAAAGGACTACCGAAGAAGTCTTCCACGAAATCTATACAAAATAATTTATGATTTTCTATAAAAAAAAACTTCAATATAAGAGAATAACGCGATTTAAGAGAACTAAAACAGGAAAAGTTCTAAGAGAATTATACTGTAAGCTTGGGAGAAGAACTTTTGGCTATTGGCAGAGGAATATCTTCAACTTCGAGTGAAGTAAACTAAAGCCTCTAAATATGGACTTCTAAAAAAATATTATCGTATGCCCCTCTAAAGCAAAAATAAATTTTACTTCTCTATGGAAGTAAGTCTTAAGATTTTTTACATAAAAAATACCTTCATTCTCTTATAGAAAAAAAAAACATTTCCAAGACTAAGACAGTCGTATAAAATCTCCCATAAAAGCACCTTGTGGTCTTCTTAGGAAGAATAATTTCCTGGACTTATATGGTCTTCTATGGAAAAATATCTTCTTGCCTTGTGTAGAAAAAAACTTACTGTTTTCTATGGCAAATTCTTTCCAAACGATCTTCTATAGAAGAATACATTTTTTTCTTGTCTTCCATAGAAAAAGGAAAACAGAAACCGTAGAAAAATTGTCTCCAGATCATACAAAGAGGCAACGTTAAGGTAATTTACAGAAGATAGACTTCATGCTTTCTATGGAAAAAATATATTAAAAAAATGGTATTTTAGAGAATAAAACCATTTTATAGAAAAGCCCACGAACTTTCCGTCTTCTCTGGGAAAATACCTTTCCTTATTGTCTTCTAATGGAGAAGACCTTCTTGTCGTCTCAAAAAGAAGACATTTTGGTCTTCTATCAAAGAAGACCTTCTATAAAAAGGACCTTAGAGAAGACCTTCTGGTATTCTATAGAGGATGACCTTCAGGCCTTCTATAACTAAAAACCTTCTGGTCAAGACGATCTTCTTGTCATCAATAAAAGAAGACCTTGTGGTCTTCTACAGAAGAAGGCCTTCTGGTCTTCTGTAGAAGAAGACTTTTTTTTTTTTTTGACTTGCATCTGGAAGACCTTCTGGTCTTCTATAAAGACAACCATCTGGTCTTCTAGAAATGAAAACCTTCTGGTCAATACGATCCACTGGTCATCCATAGGAGAAGACCTTCTGGAGTTTCATAGAAGAAAACCTTCTGGTCTTCATTACAAGAAAACTTTCTGGTCTTCTATAAGAAAACCTTCTGGTCTTCCATAAGAAGACCATCTGGTCTTCTATAAGAAGACTGGTCTTTCTGGTCTTCTATAAGAAAACCTTCTGGTCTTCTATATAAGAAAACCTTCTGGTCTTCTATAGAAGAAAACCTTCTGGTCTTCTATATAAGAAAACCTTCTGATCTTCTATAGAAGATGACTTTTATCTTTTTATAGAAAAATCTTCTTCAGAAGATTACTTTTATCTTTTTATAGAAAAATCTTCTTCAGAAGATTACTTTTGGTCTTCAATAAAAGAAGAACTTCCCGTCTTTTATAATAGAATACATTTTGGTCTTCTAAAAATTAAGTCTTTCTAATCTTCTATAAAAAATACCTTCTGGATTTTCTGGTCTTCTATCAAAGAAGACCTTCTATAAAAAATAAATTCTGATATTCCGTAGAAGAAGACCTTCTAGTCTTCTAAAGGAGAAGATTTTCTTCTATAGAAGAAGACCTTCTGGTCTTCTATAGAAGAAGACCTTCTGGTCTTCTATAGAAGAAGACCTTCTGGTCTTCTATTGAAGAAGACCTTCTGGTCAAGAAGATCTTCTAATCTTCAATAAAAGAATACATTCCCGTCATCTATAAAAGAAAACCTTCTGATCTTCTATAGAAGAAGACCTTCTAGTAGTCTATAGAAGAAGACCTACAGGTCTTCTATAGAATAAGGCCTTCTGGTCTTCGATAGAAGAAGACATTCTGGTCTTCTATAGAGGAAGACCTTCTGGTTAAGACGATCTTCTAGTCTTCAAGAAAAGAAGACCTTCCCGTCATCTAGAACAGAAGACCTTTTGGTCTTCTAAAGAAGAAGAAGAAAACCTTATAATCTGCTATAGAAAAATACCTACTGATCTTCTATAGAAGACGACCTTTCCGTCATTTATAATAGAAGACACTTTGGTCTTCTAAAAAAGTCTTTCTAATCTTCTTTAAAAAACTTTCTGGTCTTGTAAAGAAGAAGTTCTGGTCTTCTAAAAAAACCTCCTGGTCTTCTAAAGTGGCTTACACCTGGAATTTACATGCCTCAGAGAATATTCTTCAAAAAAAAATTCTATGTAGGTTAATGATTCCTCATGATCCCCATACAAGAATCCCAATTCATTCTCACACTTCTATCTTTTCAAAAATAGTTCCTATTAAAGCCTTCCTTGCTTTTCAGATGCCTTATTTTTCGTATACGAATAATGCTAGCAATTAGTGGAGCATTATTCGCCAAATATTTCTGCACAACCGAACAGGTTGTTAATCTTCAACTTTCTCCTTTCCTTTTTTCTTCTCCATTTGACTTAGCGTTATTCATCGTTTTTTTCTTCTTCTTCTCGTCGTTTCTATGTACGTATGTCTTGGGGGGGTACTTACCAAAATCTTTGATATGTTTTTCCAGTCTATCGTTCTCCTCCTGCGATGATATGCTTGCCAAGTGCATGCCATGGTAACGACAATATTGTGTGGCCTTAAACCAATTTGCCTGGAAGAGAGAAGAAAGAATAAATATAGAAGTGAGTGGAATGAGAAAGCATTTCAAGTTTTTTTTTCATTTTTATTGGAAACGCTAAAAAGGGAAATTGCATTAATGTCCCGGTCCAGATGAAAACTGTTGCAATTGATGGCAACAGAGTTTTTCATTCATTGCAAACGTGGCGTAGCTGGATGGGTGGGTGATTGGTTGGGTGGGTGGCTGTGCTGATGCTTGCTTGGATTAACGTCATGTGACATGCTGTTGACAGTGAAATAGAAATTACATTTTCATTAAAATGTGACGTCTGTGCTGTTCCACTTTGACAGGAACCATTACGCCAAGAGCTATGAATGACGCGAAAAGCAAACGCTGACAAAACTTCTCAAATGGAGGAAATATGTGTCAAACATAGAAAAATGTATATCAATGTCAAGCGTTGGCTATGATGCATTATTCCGCACTTAATTAAAATAATGCAGATTGAAGGATAGAATTTAAAATATGCTAATGGATAAAAATATGGATTTAGTATAACCTACACAGTAAACCGTACTTTTTTGTGAGGACAACATACATTCTGAGGTATAGTTTTTAATGAAGATCCATGTTTTGAGAAACTACCTTACATATTCCAAATTTAAGTGCCCCGACGAATTTTGATATTGTCATACTGAACAAAATACTTTGTGGAAGAAAGGTCCTTGTAAAGGCCACCATCAATTTCAAATTTTCAAACTGAAGGTGGCATTTGGGTTTCCAAAAGGTCAAAATACTTTCTGACAAAAATATCAATAAATGTTCATAACATTATTCCGTCCCATTTGCAAATCGATGTATGGATATAAATTCCACCCATTTTAGATGTTGTGGAGGACCAATCCTTCCACTTTCTTGTTCATACAGGAAGAGTTTTTTTTCAACTGCCTACATTTGGCTCTCTGATTTTTAATTAGGCTATGTAAAGTCCTTCCTTCCCTAATTACAATCAATATATGGCACAAGGTTTTATATATTCCTTTTCTATTAATCATTTTTGTTGCAAATTTCAACATATGCACTATTATTTTCTTCAGAAGCCTTAGAACCCAGTTTTATCTACCTCTACTATCTTCTATAGAAGAAGACCTTCTGGACTTCTATAGAAGAAGACCTTTTGGTCTTCTATAGAAGAAGACCTTCTGGTTTTCTACAGAAGAAGACCTTCTGATCTTCTATAGGAGAAGACCTTCTGGTCTTCTACAGAAGAAGACATTCCGGTCTTCTACAGAAGAAGACATTCCGGTCTTCTACAGAAGAAGACATTCCGGTCTTCTACAGAAGAAGACATTCCGGTCTTCTACAGAAGAAGACATTCCGGTCTTCTACAGAAGAAGACATTCCGGTCTTTTATGAAAGAAGACCTTTTGGTCTTTCATAAAACCTTCTGAACTTCTATAAAAGAAGACCTTTTGGTATTCTATAGAAGAAGACCTTCTGGTCTTCTATAGAAGAAGACCTTATGGTCTTCTATAGGAGAAGACCTTCTGATCTTCTATAGAAGAAGACCTACTGATCTTCTATAGAAGAAGACCTTCTGGTCTTCTACAGAAGAAGACCTTCTGGTCTTCTATAGGAGAAGACCTTCTGGTCTTCTATAGGAGAAGACCTTCTGGTCTTCTATAGGAGAAGACCTTCTGGTCTTCTATAGGAGGAGACATTCTGGTCCCCTATAGAAGAAGACCTTCTGGTCTTCTATAGGAGAAGACCTTTTGGTCTTCTATAGAAGAAGACCTTTTGGTCTTCTATAGAAGAAGACCTTTTGGTCTTCTATAGAAGAAGACCTTTTGGTCTTCTATAGAAGAAGACCTTCTGGTCTTCTAGAAGAAAAACTGCTGGTCTTCTAGAAGAAGACCTTCTGGTCTTCTAGAAGAAGAACTACTGGTCTTCTATAGAAGATTTTTTTGTCGTCTATAGAAGAATACCTTTTGGTCTTCTATAGAAGAAGACCTTGTGGTCTTCTATAGAAGAAGACCTTCTGGTCTTCTATAGAAGAAGACCTTCTGATCTTCTATAGAAGAAGACCTTCTAATCTCCTATAGAAGAAGACCTTTTGGTCTTCTATAGAAGAAGACCTTCTGGTCTTCTATAGGAGAAGACCTTTTGGTCTTCTATAGGAGAAGACCTTCTGATCTTCTATAGGAGAAGACCTGCTGGTCTTCTATAGGAGAAGACCTTCTGGTCAAGACAGTATTATGGTCTTCAATAAAATATGACCTTCCCGTCATTTATAAAAGAAGACCGTGTGGTCTTCTATAAATGAAGACCTTGAATCTTCTATAGAAGAAGGCCTTCTTGTCTTCTATGGAGGAAGACCTTCTGATCTTCTATAGAAGAAGACCTTCTGGTCTTCCAAAGAAGAAGACCTTCTGGACTTCTATAGGAGAAGACCTTATGGTCTTCTATAGGAGAAGACCTTTTCTATCAATAATTTTTGTTGCAAATTTCATCATATGCACTATTTTATTCTTCAGAAGCCTTAGAGCCCAGTTGTATCTACCTCTACTTTGCCGAACATTCCATAATGACTTTATATTAACTTCACCATTTAATTGCGTATCTGTCTTCATTTATTATTGTACTAAGGTACACATACACACACTTATCTTGCTCACAATATCCATCCTGGCTGGGGCATTGAAACCCCACATTTCGCCATGGCAATCCATTGACAATCAACAGTCATTTCTCGGTGGGTGGGTGTGTGTGTGTGCGTTCATTTTTACAAAATCTTGTCATTTGTAATTAATTATCATTGAGACAACATGCATAGTATCAGGACACCAAGGACATACATAATGGACATTCAATAGACAGTTATGCTTATCTGAACCTGCCAGACATTATAAAATGTGTGACCATTGTGTTCGTTTAATTGATCGATTGCTCTCGAAATGTACATTGCAGTTCAGGTCAGGTGTCGTCTACGTGTTTATCTTTTGCAATGGAGGCAATCAGAGAGACATTGTGACCTTTTTACAAGGGAGGTTTTTATCAATATATAAGGTCAATTGTGACAATATACCATAGTTAGGGGTTCTTATATGTCCCCTAAAGATAAGATAAACTCTTCATTGGTTCTTCCCCCAGAAAGAAATATTTTGAAGAACTTTTAATGATAGTTCAACGCAAATGACAAATTAATGCATTTATTGATGAAAAATTGAATGAAAACAATGCCAGAAATCGATCACTTCGGTACGAAAATGAGGTCAGTGCATTCTAAATTTCTAAAAAGTGGTCGGGATCCACGAGAACATATATATATATATATATATTTTAGAAGCCGAAAAGCCAAATTATAAAAACTTCTGCTGAAAGAAATTCCCGTGAAAACCTAAACCTTCATACGAACTTCAGGTTGCATACATGAAGCTTTTCTGAACTGAAAATCGAAACTCAAAACTAAAGAAAATTAGTTTACGGCTATCAACTATAAAATATTTGAATAAGAGTATATGCTTAAACACGGGCCTACTACTACTCTATGCCAAAACATGGTCCCACATTGAACACTTTCTGCAAAGATGTTTCCTATTCTGTCTGAATCCGAAGACTGAAATTCCATTTACTTCTTTGGAAAATGTCAATAGGAACTTAAAATCAATGAGTGGAGCAATATGGTAGGACGGGGCCGACCAAATGATACGCTACTCAACTACCACGGAACTATGACTTTCTGCGGATCCATTTTCCGAGCCTTGGAAATATTTCGCCATATGTATACCCTCTTGATCGATTTGAGGTCAACAGCTCCCCTTTCTTGTCCTAGCATATTTTCTGAATCTTGGTTTTCCCGATTGTCCACCCTGTCTAAATTCTCTGGTCCATGTGCTTTTGGTGGGTACACGGAACTATGACTTTCTGCGGATCCATTTTCCGAGCCTTGGAAATATTTCGCTATATGTGTATCCTCTTAATCGATTTGAGGTCAACAGCTTCCCTTTCTTGCCCTAACATGTTTTCTGAATCTTGTTTTTCCAGGGTTGTCCACCCTGTCTAAATTCTCTGGTCTATATGCTTTTGGTGGGTACATATATACGCCATATAAGAGAAATTTTGCCGTGTTTCACACAAATGTGTGGGTCCATTTGTACCGCTATGTATTGACCGACTAGCATGAAAAGATAAAAGTTTATTCCTAGGTACCCTCTTGATCGATATGTGTGCCCTCTTAATCGACTTGAGATCAACAGCTCCTCTTTCTTGCCCTAGCATATTTTCTGAATCTTGTTTTTCCAGGGTTGTCCACCCTGTCTAAATTCTCTGGTCTATGTGCTTTAGGGGTGGTACATATATATGCCATATAAGAGAAATTTTGCCGTTTTTCACACAAATGTGTGGGTCCATTTGTGCCGCTATGTATTGACCGATTAGCATGAAAATAGCCATGTTTGTTCCATGGTCAGATCGCTTTCTCTGCATAAAATGTTGTAATGTTCGGATCATAATTGTGGTCTCTCGTGCGACAAAAACAAACTTTTTGGTCAATTTTGGTTCCCCTAAATATTCCCCTGTCCCGAACCGAATGTGTAATATTCCCACAACATAGCTGTGTATCGTATAAATATCTAAAATTAGTATAAATATCTAAAATTAGTCGTCGAACTTAGGTGGAGATCCTCTAAGAAATTTAAACGTCAAAGGGATTTTATCCTTATAGAAAATACTAAATAAAGACCACATCTGGTCGAAAATATGGCAGAAATCGAGTGAAACCTTTATATGTGAATTATATAAATTTTTATATATATTTTTGAGAATCCGAAATACCAAATCAAGTATTGCAATATTCGGCTAGGTCTGTCAAAGTAGGGTAAATAAGGCGGAACATTTACACGGACCTATATATGGAAAATAAAAGACAAAAGTAGGTCGAGTAGATTTTGAAATAACCTAAGGTACTATATAGACATCGGTTCGAAAATGAGCCATTAAACTATATATGGAAAAAGACAAAAGTAGGTCGAAAT